TATTTTGACACAACTCCATGAAAGGAAATTATATGGCATAAGATTAGGGGATCTCTTTGGATGAATCATTATCATTCAAAATGCTGAAAACATGGCACAAATATAAAGAACACAATTTGTGCAGCATTAAGAATAATTAGCAGCATGAAATGAAATGGATAACAGTTTAGATATTTGTTGTGTAACTCACATAAGCGGTCACGTAAGTTCAAAGTTCAACTTGGAACTTATGTGTCTGAAAAAAGAACTTGGTAAATTTTTTGCATCATTTCTTGTAATATGTTTAATAATTTTGGAAATATAATAATTTCAAATTTATTTCTCCATATGTGCTAACTATGTATCAGAAAAAAACTGTAATTCGGATATTAATGGATTAAGTGAAGAAAAAAAAAGATTTAAAAATGATTTATCTTTTTCATTTATAAAATTTTTTTATGCGCTTCATCAAAATACAGTAATTATAAAATTAATTTCATCAATTTTGCTTTATTTTCAGAATCTAAAGATAACTCTTTAGATCATTTTAAGACCTATGAAGTATTTCATCATAAGACTCCAAATTTAAATTAATTGACTTCATTATCCTGAGCAGAGTAAATATTGACCAATAAATTTCTCCTTATTGAAGAAAACTAAATCTATAAAAGTCATATCATTAAACTACTAACTTCACATCCTCAGAAGAAGAAAATGAATAATTAAATTTGCAAATTTTTTTCAAGTTATATAACACTGACCATCGTATAAAACGGAATAAAAAAAATTTTCAAATGGTTTTTATAGCATTATTTAAAACAAGTATGTCTGTGATAAATACAACAAAATTAAAAGTTTTAGGCTTAGAAAATATGGAGCAGTTCATTATTTTGAAGTCTATGCAGTGTATAATATCATCTATAATACAATAGAAATATATATTATTAATAAAGCAGGCATATTTTATAACTCTAAAAATTTACAAGCTTTTTAATTTATCATTTAGTTTTAAATTCATCGTCGTCTCTGTGGTACATGAATTAGAAAATTTTAATATTTTAACAATGCTGATAGATTATCTGCAGTCAAAAAATGAACTGAAAATAAATATCATGAAAGAAACTAAAATATATTATAAGTGTGAATAAAAATCTTGTTTGAGTAGCAAAAAAATAAAAAATAAATAAATAGAACAAAATTTAAAATAAATACTCAGTATAATTTACTAAAGAATTTCTAGCAGTTTGCAATTATAGTAATATTTATTAATATGGAAACATAAAATTAAACATCATTAATAATTAAACTTGGTGAAATAAAAAGCATATATTACTTTAAACAAAATGGTAAAAAAAGATATTACATATATTCATCGTTTGGTATATTAACAAATATATATTAGCCAGATATAAAAACACACAAGATTTGTATAAAACAATATAGCATGGCAACTTAAAAGTTTCACGTAATACAGAAAAGAAATGCAAAATAAATTGGCGAGAGAAGAAAATTTTGTAGATATAGTATGAAGAAAAGCAAACAAACAAAATGAAAATTAAGTGAGAATCATGCTTTCACAAATGACATAATAAAAATTTATTAAAATGAATTATATAAAACAATATGATAAAAACAAAACAAAATAAATTATTTGCACTCAAAAATGATAGTTAATTTCAAGAGATTTAATGAATACATGCCAATGACCAAGTATTTGGGTAAATTTTCAATATTTTATACAAATGATCATTACCAACCAACAAATGATGGAAATCAATAGTACTGATATATGCTTTAAATATTCAAAACTTTATGCTGAAATTGAAGTTGTGTTTGTCTTAAACATTGAGCTGAATTAAATTTATACTCATAATCAGCTTGCTAATAGACCAATTGTTTGTCAGGTGAAAAAACATCTCTGTACCCTATTTCCCATAACAAGCACAAAATTATATGTTTTTAGAACTGAAATTTATAAATGTGAGCATATTTCATATGTTTTTGAAGACTCTCGGGCCAAGTAAATGTCCGAGCACATTCAGAGCATTGATACACTTTCCTAATGTCTTTATGAATTTCCATGTGAGTCATTAACCGGTATCTTGTAGTAAATGTCTTCCCACAAGTTTCACAGCTGAAATTCTTTTTTCCAGAATAGTGCACTAAAAAACAGCAATAAGGGAGAGAACTTAACAGGAAATTAATATTTTTTACAGTTTTAGGGATAATAGAAAACTTATAGTAAACATAAGAAATATTATTATGCAAAACAAATTTTCAGGACATACAAAAATCTGTAATGACATAAATAAGTTATAAAGTTGACATGTTATCAGCATAGTAAGAAACATCGGCATTTATGCATTTTATAGAACGTCTGGCATTTTATTTAAAATATGAAATAAGAGTATTATTAGTTACTTAACCAAGGCCTTGAATTAAAATATCTAGGAATTCTATTAAAAAAAAAAGTTCTTTAAGCTCAGTATAAAAAAAAGTAGATAAGATTATTTAAATAACATTCAGTTTGTTAAAAACATTATGTTGAAGTAATTTAGAAAGACTGCCATTAAGGAAACTTACTTTATTTTATAACCGTTGTTGAACAGCAGATCCAATAAAGAGACCTATTATATGTTATCAGTTATGCATAAGATTCAAAAGAATACCTAGATATTTTATAGCATGCTTGATATATTTCATACTCAGCCACCTAGTAATCAGCAATCTATAAAATGTCTAATGTTTAAAAGAGTGCCAGATTTTAAACTTTGCTCATAATAGATATAAAAATTAATCATTATGATAAAATAGGAAGTTAGAACATTTTAGGTAACTAAAATTTTTTTTGATACATATTATTTTAGACAATTCATCTATTGTAGAATTAAAGCTTCTAAAAAAATTAAAAAATAATATTTTTCAGGAAAATTGAAATTCTTAACGATAGAAGAAAAAAAAGTAAATTATCTGCTTTACGATTGTTACACAATTAGGTTCTAGGATAAACTCTTGCTACAAAAAATATAATTTTTGAAAGATAGTACTTTGTCAAGAGATTATCCCTGGGTAAGATTTTATTTCATATTTTGTCCGGGTGAATTTTTTTCAAAACACCCTGTTTGTAAGAATTTGTTGGCTTAGTATACGTCTGCACAAGAGTGTGCTCTTTGTCTTACTTTCATATTCTTAAACAATTTCGTTTTGCATTAAAAAATATTGTTAAAAAGTGACAATTACAATAAAGCAGTTTTTTTTAAACATAATAAAACATATAGATCTGAAATTATTTGAATATTTTGTAGATTATCTGTGGCTATCACTCTATCTAATTTTGCAGATAATTAGGAGTTAATTAATATCTTAGATCGAAGCACACATTAGATTGAAATTTTGCTAGGAATTTCCCAATGCAAGCTTTTTCAAATAAGTATTTATATGCCTCATAAGATTATCATGGTGAAACAAACAGATAGTCTGAAGAAAAAGCTTGATGGGTTATAGATAAAAGCTATACACTTTTGGAACAAAAAGAAGTATGGGATTAAGAATAAATTGGTGCCATAAAATTTTAATTTATTTGTCAGACAGAATCCATTGCAAAATGTGTGCTCTCATTCAGAAATTAAAAAAAACAGCAGACTTAAATACTAATAAATTAAAACTTAAAAAGAAAATTTAGTAATTGCAATGAGAGTCTAACTAACCTGCATTGTTAAAAATTTTTTAAGTATTCATTTGAATAAAATTTAAAAAGAAATTAAACGAATCTAACATTTGTTCTAGAGATTAACAGCAAGTAAATATGGTATGTCTGAACTTTGCAAACGTTATTTATTATTTTAACTGAACAGCTGATCCATATAGCATTTAACACAACAATAAATTTTAACTCAAAAACACTTCAGATGGGAATAAGTTTCCGATGTAATGAGTCATTTTCTGTGAAGAGATTTTTACTAAGAATCTTTTGGTACAGAGACAAATTAGAACTAACAAAAAAAAAAAATGATCATAGTCTTAAAGACTGCCGATGAAATAGTTGCATATAACAAAATTTTTTGCCGTTCTAATGTGTCACCAACTGTGTAGAGGTGTTTACTAAAATGCATTCTCTGGTGCGAAGACAGATTAGAGCTATCAGAGGGAAGCTAAAATATGTCTTGTTTTAAGAACTACCAGCCTGAAAAATAGTTGTATCTGATGTCAACTGATTTAAACAATGCAAATAGATTTTTTTTATTTTACTTTTTTGGTTAAAAAAGCATTCATTTTCTGTAAACAGACCCACAAACGATTGTGCTGAATGAAAGATGGATAGGGCTCAAACTTTTACATGGTAAATGGCGCTGTTTTTATTTTTCACATTAAAAATGCTTCTATACTGTGAGAAAAATTGGAAGAGGGAAATTATTATTTCCCAGAGTAATCTATTTCAATTAACATGATTTGAATGCTGTTTCTTTTTTTTATCTGGGTATGCAAATTTACAATTTTATATCTATTGTCAAATGCCTTGAAAAAATATTGCAACTAAAATTAATATGAACTTCCATTTTTATTTAGTTTTTAGAGCACATGTTTTCAATCCCACATTTGAACAAGCTATTGATAATTGTGATTATTATGAGAAACATGAGTATATTTTATGTGCCTTTGAAGATTTTCAGGCCAAGTAAAAGTTCGATAACAATGTTGGCACTGATATAATTTTCTGATGTCATTATGAATATCCATATGTGTCATCAATCGAAATTTTGAAGTCATACTTTTGCCACAAATTATGCAGTTAAAACTTTGTTTCCCATCAGAGTAGATTTCTAAAAATAAATGAAAAAGGAAAAGATAATAACTGCTGATAAATAATAATCATACATCATAAAATATCGCCAAATAACTGAATAATGTTGTTGTGACACAAGTTGCATTAATCAACAAATTAAGTCCTTAAAAATTCATACAATCAGTTAAATCCTAATTGGAGATTTTATAAGCTACGTAACTAAAATAAAGCAAGAATATAGTACATGTTAGATTTTATTTTAAACAAGAAAGCAAATTAACAAAAAGTCATTGATTTTTTTTTAAATATCCAAAACCACAATGAAAGAATTACAATGATAACTACAGATTTCATAGAATAAGACATTACTATGAATAACAGATGTTTCAACTTCTCTAGGCCATGGATCAAAGCCATTGTTATTTTCAATATTTAGAGGTTATTTATCATTTTATTTTACCTTACTTATATAAATTGTATTTATAGTGCATTATTATCCAAAACTTAAAGTTCAATAGTCTTTTTTATCAACCATATAACATTCCTGACTAATTATCTAATAGTAGGTCTACTCATTTTAAACACATACTTGTGAGAAGACAAATCATATAGCTTCTTTTATTAATAAGTAAGTAATATTTTGTGTTTGTAAACAAACATGTGAAATTATCCTTTACACTCCATTAACTTAGTAAAATTAATTTTGTGAGTTCATTGGCATTTAGGAAAAGAAATCTATATTCAACTATTAAATGCACTAGACACTAAAAATAGAAACAAAGTTTCAGATAATTTGGTGGGAAACAATGTTTATCAAATGAATTGTGAAATACATAAACCTCCCATTTTGTAAAAATGCATAAGATTCAATAAAAAATTCCATTTTATTCTTATTCAAAGTAAAACCACTACAGTTATATTTTTTTTCAACAAAAAACATTTACTGAATTTATAAATGATAGTTTAAACATATTTAACTGTTAAATAATACATCTAGTTGAAAGTTATAATTATTTATCCCTTTACTAGCAGCAAAGAAGTCGTGGTTTGTCCACAACGTTTCTGAGTAACCTTAAAAAATTTAAACGCTTTTATAAAAAAAATTGATGAAACGGTCAGCAGAGGTTATTGGGATATAGTGTTCCTCGAGTGTGACATACTGTTTTAACACTAATCAGATCAAATATATGAGAAAGAGAAAATAAATATTTTTTTGAACAATCAGAAGCTTAAAATTTTATATTTTGCATTAATTGTTTATTGTTAACATCAATCAGGATGAAGCACAGTGAAAATTCAAGTTGTCATTGGCTAAACAAAGAAATGGCAGACTATCACACACGTGTATACACGAGTATTTAGAAAAATCTACAAAATTTTAATATCTACCGTCAAAATACCGAATATTACAACCTTAAAGCAGAAAGGAATGAATCTATGCAGAAAGCTTCTGCAAAATGCTGAAATATTGGCAGTTACAGTAATGTTGCATCAGACTGAATTGGGACCTTTCTATAAATATACTTTAATGTGCAACAATTGTAATTGAAAATTCTTAAATTCATATTGTAATCACTGAATTTGATTATTTTAAAACAATCTCCCAGTGATTGAAATAAAAAATCTTTTTATAATGATTTAGAATATTCAGTCCAGCTTTTTATTTTAAAATTTTAAAATCAAAAAAAAACAATGTCTGGTATATTAGGTTTCCCTTTTAATAGAGTAGCCTCTTTTATTTCTTCAATCATTCATTTTAGAACGTTATCTTTCTTTCGACAAATATCAAAAGAGATATTTTTACATAAGTTTCTGATTTAGAACACTTTTAACAATGTTTGATGAAATGAGCATATTTAATATGCCTTTGGAGATTATCATCTCGTGTAAATGTGGAATCACAAAGCACGCATTTATGTAATGTCCTGATGTCATTATGCGTATCCATGTGAGTCTTCATTCGCCATTTGGAAGTAAAAGTTTTGCTACATATACTACATTCAATAGCTCTTTTGTCAACACATATCACTATAAGAAAAATAAAAAGCAAATATTTATTAATTATCAAATAAATATCAAGAAACTAATGTTAGTGTCAATACATTAATTGCTAAAGTAGAATAGTGATTAATGTATTGACAAACAATTATAACATAATCACTTAAGTAGTATACATAGAAATATTGCAGTAATTCAGTACTCCTTAAAACTACTTTAGTTTTCCAAACACATGAGTCAATTTAATGTGCCTTTGAAGGTTGTCATCTCTTGTAAATGTACGATTACAATGACAGCACTTGTGTAATGTTCTGATGTCATTATGCGTATCCACGTGAGTTAACATTCGTTGTCTCGAAGAAAATGTCTTGCCACACATATAGCAATGAATAACATTTTTACCAGCAAATATCACTAGAAGAAAAAAAAAATTACCTTTTCAATGAAAAATAATAAAATTAAAATGAAAAAATCAGTTGGACTGTATTAGATACAAACTATCAAGAATATTAGGGAATTGATAAAATTGCCAACTTCTAATGTTGCAATACAAAATTTTTCTGTATATTGTATAGAATAAAAAAAAATCATTCCTGTAGTACAAGTTTGTAAAAATGAAGTATTTCATTTTTTTTTTTTTTTTTTTTTTTACAATTTGATGTGAAATTTTAAACAGAACACAATGGAGACTAAAACTGATTGAGGAAATGAATAATGCTGAAGAATAAAAAAAATTGAAGAAATAATAGTANTGTAGTACAAGTTTGTAAAAATGAAGTATTTCATACTTTTTTTTTTTTTTTTACAATTTAATGTGAAATTTTACACAGAACACAATGGAGACTAAAACTGATTGAGGAAATGAATAATGCTGATGAATAAAAAAAATTGAGGAAATAATTGACAAATTAAAGGTATAGGCAATGATTCATTTTCCCCTTGTATATCATAAATTGATATTCATAAAATTCAATCTTAATTTATAAAATCAAATTAAAAAATACATTTTTTGTTAGTCAACTTGATTGCTTATTGCTTATTGATATGAGGAAAGAAATTAAAATTTTAATTAAAAAATTGATTATTTATCGATAATTTCATAATAAAACATGAAGTTCCTTTAAAGTTGTAGAATGTAGTAGTGTATTGCTATCTATCGTGTAATTAAGATTATAATTCCCCTGCTTTCAATTTCAGTCTTTAATTCTTTTAAGATAGTGATCAATGTGCCCCACCTTTAAAATGATTATAAGAAACACACTTAAGAAAAATAAACAATCACAAAGAAAACAAATCACAATTCAAAATTATAGGTAGAATTTTGGTAGGTAATGTGGAATGCTCTTTTAAATTTCTTCTTTTATATAGAGAAAAAGTTTAATACAAATAAATCAATTCAATAAAACAAAATCAGAGTAAATTTAACAAATTAATAAATAAGGTACTTTAATTTGAGAAAAGAACTAATTTATAATCAAACATATTACTTTATTAGGACTTTTATTTTAATGTAATTAACAAAACCTTTTTTTACAGCAACAATATTATGCATACAATTACCCTATAAAATAATTTAAACTCTACCATTTTTCCATAATGTGCTTTTAAATATATACTGCAGAAATACTAAATGCATAAAATATATCAAACTAAAACTCTTTTTATTTCACTGGGATTTTTTTTTACTAAAATAAAATCGATAAATAAAATAAAGTAAATGGCTACAAAATACAACAAAAATTTTAAGGCCAGAATACTAATTACAAAATATATATACTATTTTAAACAATTATAAAAGAAAATCATGTCTACTTTTAATGCAAATTTAGAAATAATTTATAATTTTGATGACATTAACACATTTAATGCAAATGTACAAAAAAAATTTTTAAAGCATAATAGCATTAGAGTTGTAATAAATTTTAGGACTTCATACTTGTAAATTTTATAATTAATAGCTTAAGAATGAGCAGTATAAAATGCCTTGAATTTATTGCATTTTACAAATTAATTATTTTTAATAATAATACCATCAAGGAACAATTTCTGGAACTAAACTCTAGACTATTTATAAATTAAATTAAAATGACATGAAAAAAGAAATATTATGAACACAAAAAGATAACAATAACAAATTCAAAAAAAGTATTTTCAACATCAGATTTGAAAAGGCTTTTAAAAAAAATACTAAGCATGAAAGCATATTGAGTTAAAAATATGTGTTCTAATACAACAAAATTTCAATTGTTCATACTTCAATCATTCATATCACTAACAATGCAGAACTCTTGTCAAAACTACATAAGTAAAGTGTAGCTTTTAGATTTCAAAGCTGTGGCACCTCTATGAGTTAGAATCAAAGTAGAAATGAAAAATTATTCGTAAATCCAAAAATAGCAGAAAACATTGTGAAAATATTTGTATGGCAATTCTTTGTAATTAATGAATTAATTTACCAATAAAACCAATTTTTTTCTCTTCTCTTTCAGAAAATAACTTATTTTTTATTGGTTATCTAATTATTTAATCATCCAAATAAGAGATACCAATTGATCACGCTAGTCAGAGCTATATTTTAATATAAAATTAATACAAACAAAACCTTGGGAATGAAAAATGGCAATTATAAAAAAAGTTACAGCCAAATCTATGTTTAGCAAAATAGCTATATTTCACAAAAAATTATTACAATGAAGATTAATTTTTAAACATGTTCCGAACAACACAAAATATATTTCAAATTTATAAACACTGGATACAATTAAAAAATATTTATTTGCACTTAAGTAAATATCAATTTATCTTATACATCGAGAAAGCTTCTTATTTTTCCAGATAAAATGAATATTCACACGGATTTTTCTTTTGTTGAGTCATAAAAAAGGATTAAAAGAATAAGTTTGAATGGTTTTAGAAATAAGGAGAAAAAAATCAGATCAAGAGGAAAAGTTCTCTAAACAGAAAAAATATTGGAAGTTATTTTATGAAGAAAACCTCCAAAGTATTTTAGGTTCCTGGAAAAAGTTTGAAAAATGGAAACTCGAGTTAACTTATCACATTAACTATTACAAATATTAATAAGAAATATAGTGTCAAATGACCTTTTTGATAAAAAAAATTTTCTCCATGAAATAGGATGTGTAATGTAGAAAAAAAACTCATCCTATTAAAAGATTCCTTGATGATGAATAATCCATATTTAGTTGATGGAATAATCTAAAATGTTTTTTAAGGTTATCTTTTAAGGTGAATGTTTTCAAGCAGATGGAACATCTGTGCAACTGTCTCACGTCTTTATGAGTATCCATGTGACTCGACAACCGCTGCCTCGAAGAGAACTTTTTCTCACAAACAGGACAAAAATTTCCTCTGTGTGCAGATCGGCTGACTAAAATAAAAAGATAACAATAAATAATTTTAAAATCATGCATCAACTTAGACTAAAGCATAATAGAATTATGCTTCAAACTAAACGTTATCGCATCTGACGTGAATGAAATATTACTGCATTGGTAACTTTTTATACCATCTATTATAGTCATTGTGCAAAATAATTTATGTACTTATCAAACTTTAAAAAGACAACTGTGTAAAGATTTGCATGAGGGTAAGTATGAGTTAAACCCTTCAAAGTGGTTCCTTCCTATGATGCTTTTTTTAGTTTCATTGCCTGGTTGTCAGTGGTAATTACTGGCATAAGCATCGATATAGTTATCTTCTCGAATTGATGGATCTGAATAAAGTTCAACCTTATTTATAAATCAGGTATTTTCTCCTGATCAATAAAACATTTTTTGAAAGAATATCTTATCAAATATCTTATAAAAAAAACCATTAAACAATATTTATAGTTTTATATCATACACAGCTTAAAAAATAATCTAATATACAATGTTCTTCTGAAATATTTTGAGAAGAGTGGCCTGCTCTATCTGCCTTTTGAGCCCTATAAATACGCCCTAAACCACCATCCCTTAAAACACTGCTCCCCAACCCCGGGTCTGCGGACCGGGGGTTGGGGAGCAAACGTGGATCAAATAGTACAGGGCCGCCCATTTCATTGAAACTAAATTTAAATTCCTAGGTTTATAACCCAAATTAAAAATATCTGTGTTCCATTAAAATTTTATTTACTTAAAAAAAGGGGCCCTCGAAGGTAGTGACATACATTTTTTTAATGCTTGTAATGTGTCATTGTCTCCGATTACCCCCAAATGGAACCGTCTCATTGCAAAGAAACAAGCTCAGGATTCTCATTGATTTAAAGTTCTAGTAAGTTAAAATGTTAAATCACTTTATATTTTTTTTGTGTAACTTTTTGTTATTTTGAAGTTAAATACAATTAAATTAAAATTAATAAATCAAAATAATCTAAAATATAAACAATCAATGCCCCCCCCCCTCAGAGAGCAGCAGTAAAAATATCAAACGTTGACAGGTCCGCGGTGATAAAAAGGTTGGGGAACACTGCCTTAAAACACTTTTTTTTTTATTCCATCTTAAAAAAAAAATAATAATAATAACTCATTGTTTAAATAATAACTACACACTGGTAAAATTATCGGCGCTTAATTCTGATTGCCATTACAAATATTTACTTTGTTAGGATTATTTTAAACTTATTAATTGCTTTTCTTTTTTTCAGGAAGGGGAAGACATATTAATAAATTTTTAAGCAACTTTCAATTTTAAAAGTATTTTTTAAATAAAAATCTTTTTTTTTTAAAAATGTACTTGTAAATGCTAGTTTTTTTTTTATAATTTTCAAATTATAGCGTGCCTTTAATAATTTTTTTCATAAACTATGAATTTTTCTCTTGTTTCAGGATTGGCCAAAATGAAGATGAATCAACAAGAGTAAAAGTAACAAAAGTACTTTTGCATTGTATACCAGTATATAATTGTAGTTAGGATAAAGATGCTTCAGATAGCATCTAAAATATATTATCGTTAATTTAAATGCTAAGTATTTCAACTTGAAACAGTCTTACTTTAAAATCATTCAACTAATTTTTTATAATGTATATTTTTACATTTTCTCTATATTTCTATCAAACTACACAGTGGTCACAAAGAGAAAATATTTTTAATATTAATGTTTTAAGTTTCACGAAGCTGTTGGAAACTTCAAAAATGTTCATTTCACTTCAGGGATTCAGATAGTTAATATATCTAGATATACTTTGTTTAATTTACAAATATATATAGATAAGAATCAGCAAAAAAAAATTATATCAATTTTTCTCTACTACTTTTTAAATTCTTCCCAGTTGTGGCCAGGGCCTGATCTAGAATTGTGAGGACCCTAGGCACAGAATTGTCAGCGTTTTTAAATTATTCATAACATAAATAAATTTCTATATATTAGTAAATTTGAGCTTATATCTACTTCACTCTTCGTTAATTAATTATTCTAATAGACAAAAAGCACACACACATAAAAAAACAACTTAATTGTGACTTTTAAGAGGCCCCAGAAAATAAGGGAGCTCTACGCCTCATGATAAATCAGCCTTTATTGCAGCCACACTGAACAAACATTATGTTACACATGTTTTACTATTGACTTTTTTTTTCAGGAATTTTTTCCCATATTTTTAGTCAGTTCAAATCAGAGACACATTGAACAAAAAAATTGACTGTTCTAGTCAATATTCATGTCCATTTCTGATAATTATGAGAATATAGAACGCAATTCTCTATTCATTACATCTACAATCCATTGATTTTTTTTTCTAGAGAATGTCGACGTTGTCCAGTCATTTCATTCCAGTTTCAATTCTCATAATTAGATGCTTTATTTTTATTAAATATTTAATCAATGCCAGTCAACAGATATATTCAGCATCATCATAATTACATATCTAGATATATTTTCTTACATTTTCATATATATATTAATAGATAAGAATCAGAAAAAATAATTCTTCCCAGTTGTGGCTACATTGACCCAACATAGTCTTAAACATGTTTAATTCATAACTTTTTTCTTCTGGAATTTTTTCCCATATTTTCAGTCAATTCAAATCAGAGGCACAGTGAACAAAAGAATTAGCTGTTCTGGTAAATATTCAGGTTCAGATTTGATAATTATGAGAATATAGAATACAATTCTTTACTCATAACATGTTAAAATCCATGCATTTTCTTTTCTAGAAAATATCAACTCTGTCAAGTCATTTCATTCCAGTTTTAATTCTCATTTTTAAAAACTTTATTTTTATTAAATATTAACAAAATGAAAGTCAACAGATATATTCTGCATCATCATACTCAAAGTATAAGTTATTATTTCTACAGAATTTTAAATATCGAAAAGTGAAATATATTATTAAAAAGGAAAGGAACAATTTTAGACTGCTTTAATCTTAATTATTATTCGAGTTTGATTTAGTGCTGGACAATTTTACTTTTGAGTTCAAATTAAGAAGAGTGAAGTGTAAAATAAAAAAAAATTTTAATGAGCCAAACATATTTATACTATTTTTTAATCAATAGGATATTTAAAAGGGCTCCTTTGAAGTAATATGAGATAAAATAGAGTTAAGGAGTAAAAGCAATGCGCCGTTATTATACGTTTCAGAAAATCTGCTTCGCAAAAGCTACAAAAGGGGATATATTAATATCGGAAACTCCATCACTAAAATTTTTGCAAAATGAAATCGAAATAAATAGTTTTCGTGAATTTTCGGCTACTCAAATTAACGTCAACAAGAAAGCTTGATCGCTCAGTTCTGATAACGTGTGACAGTGACAGTTAAAATTTACATAATGAATATTGCTAATGCTAACCTTCAACTTTGGTCTCATTTCGGGATGCTACCTATCCATTTTCTCAATAGATGTGAAAATTTCGCATACGCAAATTCGCCAATCAGAATCTCGTTCACATCTCCAAACATCACATCTGCGATTTTATTCCAGTCGCCGTCGAGGAAGAATGAGAACTAGATTAGTTATTTATTTTATAACCGTCGTTGAACGGTCGATCCAAATTTTTTGAATTTACGGCTACTAATGTTCAACTCCATGGTCTTGTAATTTTGAACCCAATCCAGAAGAACTTTTTGATGGAACTAACCCACCTTTACGTTATGTGGATTGGAAAATCATGAAAACCTCACACGGTTAGCTTGATGGCAAGGAGACTCTAACCCATGATCCGTCTACCACAGAGGATATCTTTTCACGTTGGCACTGTGGTCCGGGCGAGCAGGGTGCGGAATTCATATCAACAAGTCATCACAAGGATTCAAACTCGGTTCAGTTCCTTGGGAAAAAAGCACTCTACTCCCTGAGCCACCATGGGTTGAGCTTGCTTAGTTTTTATTTCATAACCGTTGTTGAACAGCCGACCCAATTTGGTTTTACGACTATTAATGTTCAACTCCGTAACCTTGTAATTTTGAACCCAATCCAGAAGCGAAGGGAACTTCTGTAATGGGAGAAATTTGCCTTCGTAGAAAACTTCCTGTTGGAACTAATTCACATTTGCGATAGATGGAGAGGAAAACCACAATAACCTCCCACGATTTGCACGACGGCAAGGGGACTCCAACCTATGATCCGCTAAGGATATTTTTCGTCAGCCCTGAGTCGATGCGAGCCGGGTGCGGAATTCGTATCGACCAGCTACTGCTGGGATTCGAACCCTGTTCAACTCATTGGAAGGTGAACGCTCTACCACCTGAGCCACCACGGCTCTGAACCTGATAAGTGAAAAAAGGCACCAATCAGGTTTTCCATTTTTTCTAACTGTGATCGGAAATGCGTAAACCAAAAGCAAGGGGAAATTTAAAACGAGCCTTTAAGACGAGCCGCTCGCATAAGCAGAAATCGCATCGAGGTAAGATCACATATGAGGGAATTGCATTTACATGCAATGGCATATGTGAGTCGCATGCAGTGACAGTGTTCCATTTATGCTTGAACAACATTAAGAGCGTATTTATTAAACGTTTCATCAAAACTGTGATGACATGTCTTCGGATCATTCTCAGGGATGTTTCTCAGATAGTAGGCAATTGCCTACAGTGCAGCTCTAGTGCCACGTAAATAAAATGCTTATCTCTCTTGCTGTTCAGGGCATAAAAACTATTTATCATGTAAAAAGCGATGTTAGATGTTTTCAAATAACAATAACATGTAAACTTCCATCATGATGTAAACCACCGATATCTTATGTAGCTTTCTTTAAAAAATTTGTAAGAAATTCTCTCATCACATTTTAGTTTGAACTTCGTACAAAATGAACATAATGTCTGAAAAATTAACTGAAACAACATAAACTTTATTTATTTATTATTATTATTATTATTTTTTTTTTTATGTTCCACCCAATCTTAAATTTTTTACTTTTTCGTGCAAAACCATAAAAAAAAAGAAGAAAAATTTCTTTTTTTAAAAAACCTTTTTTTAAAATTATTTTCTTAGTTTTTTTAAAATTTATTTTTCCTTACATTTTAAAAGGAAAGTATTTTTTTTTTTGTTTCAACTCTTCGTGTTTTAGAACTATTCATCTCTCTAGCACCTCATACGAAATTAAACGATAATCAAATTCATAAACAGAAAATTATCGGAAAGTGATAAACACAGTGATAAATGGGGACGGGAGTGCCCGGAAAACAATAGGTGGTGGAAGTAAACAGTGTTTACATTTGTATTCAGGAGGTCATAATAATATACTTACTAGCACATAATATATACATAATAATATACTTTTTGTCATGCATGTGTATTGAAATGTCTATGTCCGTTAGGGCAAAATCTATTAGCACATATTTATTGAACTACATTTGAGCTCTTCTGGGATAAATTGAAATTGATCTTTATTTTCGTTAGCAATAATAATAATAATAATAAAAAATTTCTAAAGCAATATTATTTTTTTTAAATACAGTAATTTAATATATAATCTTCAATAATTTTTATAAATTTTTTTAAAATTTAATTTCTCAGAAGTTTCTGAGTATGCTTAAAAAATTTGGATAGTTTAACCTTTTTATAGGTTGATAACAGAAATTATTAAGCCGTGTCATTAATAAAGTTGGAAAATAAGAAAATTTTCCTGCTATTCAAAATATCTCGGGTGCTGTTCAAGTTTTTTAAATTTTCAATAGATGGCAGCACCCCTGATTTCTGTATGAAATTGTGAATAATGCTGATTAAAAAATAAATTTGCGATTTAAAACTTACAATTTTAAAAATCTTATTTTGTTTTTTCTTTCACAATTACATTTTATTATCAAAAGAAATATTTTTTTAAATACTTGATTCAAATCAAAACTCAAATAAAAGTTGAGTAAATCTTAATGGGTGGATTTAACGTGTAAATGGTAATTTTTAATTTACTCTTCGGCGTAACTTTCGTTTGATCCTTATGGTAGTTAAACATTTATTTGTATGCCATTTACGCTAAAATAATCGTTAAATGAATATTATTTGATAAAAGAAACTTAATTAAATAATTATTTGAAAAGAATTATTTTTTAAAAATTATGTACATTCAGAAGAATATATTACATCCAGGGCCCGACTTAGCCTAATTGGGGCCCGAGGTAAAAACGTCTTTGCCCCCCCCCCTCTGCTTCACTACTTCCGTAATGAAGAAATGAATTTTATGGAGGTATTTAAATTTTTCACCTCATTATACACATCTGAACAAGAAAATTGACTAGAACCTAAAAGAAAATTGACTAGAACCTAAAATAGCTATAAATTTCCTCCCCCTCTAATGGTCAGACGAAATATCGTTCTGTCCATTTTATTAACTTTTCGACAATTGTGTGTCCATCACGCCGAATGCAGCTTTCTGATTCTTAACTTTGTCATCTAGCTGCGAAAAATTCATATCCTTGCAGACATTAGGGCGGATTCAGCTAAATTTTCACAATTACGATGGCTCACTTTAGCCAACCAGAAGCAGGACCTGATTATCGCCTAGGCCCAATAGGCACGGGCCTGGGGCCCACACTTTCTGGGGGCCTCGAAAATTAGTAAAAAGTCCACAATATTACTTTTTTTTAAATACTGAAAGAAACAGTTTTTCTCAAAAAGAGCATTTTTTTTAATTTCAAATTTTCTTTATATTGTGACAAACCAAACTCGTGTAAACATTGCACTTATCAAATTCGAAAGTACAGCTGAATTTTAATTGGTGCGAATTTTACTCCAACTGCTTAAGCAAATGTAACGAGAATGCTTATTCGCAAAGTCTCTTATAAATGATTAGTGTCAACAAAAACTAAAAACTTATTCTTAACGAATATGTAAAGCTGCAGATGGAAGGCTACAATTTTTAAAATAATTCAGCTAATCAGTGATTTTTAGCAAAAATCACCGATTTCACTTGTTTGTGGTCGCCAAACTATTTTTATTTTCACACAACATTTTATATTTTGCCTTAATATTTAGATGCGTAAATTTTATCTTAGAAAAATAATCTTCAATTGCCTGCTTTCAAAATTTTTGAGAAAGTTTCTCGTGAATCATGCAATTCAATAGATATTTTTTTATTGTTAGGACTACTCTTCAGAAATTTAATTTCAAAATATTTTGTTAGGGGCCGGGAAAATTTTGTGGGCCTTGGGCCTGAATTTGTCTTGATAGGTCCCTGACCAGAAGCCTGTATTTTTGTAAACATATCGTATCTTGCGATATGTAAAAGTGTTGCGATATATAGGCTTTTCATTGGCCAAATGTGTCCATCGTCATTGCGAAAATTTAACTGAATTCCGCACTAGAAAGCAATAGATTTAGTAAATATAGATTTTTTGTGCCATACGATAGATTAATGAAGAAGCTAACATAAAACTAACGGATTTTACACTGTACTGATATTTGTTTTAAAAAAAGTTCATTAAAGAAGGAAACGTAAAATAAACTTTTAATTCGATTTGGTCTGATGTGGGGCCCGGAAAAACTGCCCGGTATTCTCTGATTACGTCATAAATTTAAAACTTTCAACTAATACTTTTTCTTTAATTTTTGCTAATCTTTTTAAGAGAGAAAATAGAATTGAAATGTTTGAATGCACTTTTGTTTGTCACTGTTGGGGTCGATAATTGAAGAAAGAAGAGTTTTATAGCAGCGAAAAAAATAAATAGGAGTTAAAAATCAGAAATTTGTATTCTGCTTCTAAAAATAAAGATTTATGAAATTTCTATGAAGATGTTCGTTGTTTTATTAACCATACCCAAAAGAAGGCCGGTGTTTTATTAACCGTAAGGCAAAAGAAGGCAATGCAGAGGGGCTTGCGTTCTTTTGCCTTATGCCCTTGAATTTATTTTCTTACTCGAAATCGTAACATTTGTTTTCTATTTGATTCTTACATGATAATCTATGTGGCTTTTAAATTTACTGGTTCTCCTCATTTTTTCAGGCTCCCCACAAAAGAAAACTATTCTGAAAAAAATCGAAACATTGGAATTAGAAAATAATATAAATCCAAGCAGTTTTAGGTTATTATTTAAGCGGTTCCCTTTAACACAAAATTTCATACTTCTATTTTTAAGTGTCTCTCGCTCGATAATTGATTGATAAAATTTACAAGTTAGTATAAATTTGAAAATAACAATAACAAATGAAAAATATTAATAATAAAAAAAAGTTAAATTGACTACTCTTACGAAGGAAATTCGATTATTTCGAATGGTATTATTCGATTCGATTCGAAGGATATTTTATTGTATTTTATAACCGTCGTTGAACGGCCAAACCAATTTTGGGTTTACGACTCCTAATGTTCAAC